GAAAAGGACAGAAAAGAAAAAGGTCAAGGTAGACTAGAAATGAGAAAGCATAGGATAAAAACCTACAGAGAAAAATACAAAGTTTAGTTACTACTCAGTAGCATCAGAGCCATTCCAGCTTTTGTGCAGTAATCACCAAGACAGAATTATTCTGAGTCATCCAAAGAACCTTTTCCCACATACTGAATCACCCATGTACTTTCTGTTCACTGTGTCTGCAGTAACTGCAAATCCTGTCACCGCAGCAGTCCTGGCAGTCCAGGTACTCCCATAGCTGACTGATCCTTGACCAATACATGGGATTATACCTCCACTGATGGTAGGAACCTGGAAAGCAGAAAAGCAGGTCTATCAGCAAGCCACAGAACTCCATATGAAATTCTGTTCAACTTTAGCTGCTGTCAAGTTACCTAGGAAGCAGCAGCAGAGCAGGCTGGGGACCAGGATAATGCCCGACTCCCACTGAAGTACTTTTGACATCTGAAGCTGTGATCAGATGGATTGCCCCCCACAGCAGTACACACAGGGCAAGATGGTGTTCCATGAGCATCCAGAGGATGTCACAGCTCTGCCAGGCAGTCTAGCTGCTTGCTTCCAAAAATACTGCTTTTAGCATGCTGGTTGTGGTATTACATAGCTCACCAATGCAGAAGTGCACTGAGCATCTCTTCTGAATTAATCAGAATCCAGTAATGACTTAACTAGAATTTGTGCTTTGCATTTGCAGTTGAGAAGTTAGGACAGCAAGTGAGCAATCAGGAACAAAAGAACTAAAACTAAAACCTAGAAAAAATCCCAACAATGAATTGCAGCCAACACCAGTCTGAGGATGGAAACCAGAAGTATTTGAAGTTTTAAAACTGTTTGGCACATGGAGATGTTTAGCACAGCCCAACTGCTCCTTGCTTTGCACATTCTAAAGAATGACAAATAAAAATGACAAATAAAGGGTACCTTGTAAACTATTAACAAGGAATGGCAAGAAATGGTAACATCTTCTCACTCCACTTTTCAGTCTGTCTGCTTTTATATTTGAAACTTAATGAAACGCAAACAGCTACCCTGTCTCACTTTCAAGCTCCATTCATCAGGCACACAGTAGCCTTTACATTCAGGTCACCAACATATGGAAGTTCTGCTGTGGACTTGCAAAGAAAGAGAGTTTTGAAATTGTATGTTTGTACTGGCGTACATTAAAGAAATAGCACAGAATGGGGAGACATAACACGACTATCCTTAACATGAAAGAATGGAGAAACACTACACTTGACATGAATGGAAAGATAAGGGAGACTTCCCTTTTCTGAACTTTATAGTAACAGTGTCTTGTAAGGCCTTGATCCCCAGCAGGTCTGACTGGCAGTGCTGAGCAAGAAAGGAGCAGAGGTCTACAGGACAAAGCAATCAGAAGGAAATATCCCAGTCATTAAGACGATAGGGGAAAAAGAACAGAAAGGAGCAAAGTGCAACACAAAAAGGGTTCTCTCTAGTGTGTTTTTCTGCTTTACAAGTCTGTGACTGTTTTGCTCCTCAGCTCACTAGCACCAGGCCCTAACTCAGATGGGTGCTTTTCCTTCCAGGTGCATTATGGAGTAACTTAAAAATGCAAGCTCTTGAAAGTAGTCTGTGTATCCTCCAGAAAGGACAGCCAGCACAGAAAGCTGTCCACTTCTGGAACCTCATTAAGCAACTGGTTTCCTCAGGGTTCTTAGTGCCTAAAGCTACTGATTCAGATGCACTTGAAATATGTTCCAGGCTGCTAGTAAAACATATGGGATAAAATGACTTGAAATTGTTTTCTAGGTTTCTCATGTTTCCTCTATCCAGCTACCTTCAGGGCAAACATTGTTTATAACTTCAGGAAGATCTATATGAAACATAAAATATTTAGCTGTATGTCAGCTTCAGGTTTTTATAGTCATCAGCAGAAAACACTGTAACTTCACCCACACACTGATGTCCTCATTGTCCTCAATCATATATTCATGTTTGATTCATCAGCTGATTTTTAAAGAATGTTTTTAAAAAACAAATATTTTTAAGTTGTGTCCTGTAAGTCTTGTGTGTGCTTGTACACAAGTGATACTGGGACAGCACTCAGCTCAGAGGCCTGATTGAATTTACCCAGTGAGACCCAGTAACGCAGTGGGGGTACCATTTTTTGTTGTACATCCTGCAATATGGAGCCAAGAGATTCACTCCCCCCTTCCCAACCCAGGCTTAAAGTCAGCCTAAAGCCAGTTAAGCATCTGAAACAGCATGACTGAAAAAGTTATCATCTGTTTTAGCTTTTCATATCAGAGAGAAGCTGACATCTTAACTCTAGAGCTGAGGCATCTGACATGACTGATCGATGGGCAGTATTTAACTCTTGAATTAAACCCCTGTTTTCTCTAGGAGTGATGTGTTATCAGCAACGATTGCGCAGATATTTCCAAAAGCTTGTTTTAAATCTTGTGTTAAAAGTTTTAAGTTTTAAGCCAGTGAGCCTCTTCGTATGCGTTGAGCAAGCATGCAGCTTGTGGTCTCTGAAAGGTTGAAGAATTTAATTTCAAAAACAGTGACTTTTTTATGCTTGCATCTTTCGTCGTTTACATAACTTCCTCGTGCTTCTGCTCCCTAGATTACATCAGGAAGCAAACTATGCCGTACAGGGGAAGGAAATGTTCTCACCAGCAGCCTGTTCCCGGCAAAGCCAGGAGCTGTAGATGTGAACCAGAGCCGGGGCTGTTCCGCTCCCCTGCGGGCGCGGCGCGGGGCACGGGCGGCACTGGCAGGCCGGGCCCCGCAGCCCCGGCT